TTTTGCATCCTCTATAAGTTACAAATTATAGAGAATACGAGCATCGAAAAATATCTCATACATAACATAGTTTACGAGTCTTATTAACCCACCTTTTAAAATTGGTATACTCTTTAGAGACTACATATCACTTTAGTGATAAAAGAATCAATCTGTTATTAATTATTGCGATTCATTATGAAAGCGGTTAAATTATGTTCGGAAGAAGATAAAGCACAGATATATGAAAGTATACCGGTTCACGTAATTAAACCAAATTTTCGGCCAAGTCAGCACATTAATCAAGCGAATTTCGCCGCCATCTGTGACCCTAGTAGATGTCATACACGGATATGGTTTACGCACGGCAGGTGGTCGCGCGCGGCTACCCTTTTTATCTGGAATTTATTTCTGTACAATTCTCCAGTGTGTCTATATATCACTTTAAAGAGAATTTAGGTTTTTAATCCCTTTTCTTATTATTTTCAAAGAATCTTAATGAAATTCAACGATTCATGTATAACGTGCATTTTAGAAATATACATTTTAGTAAATAGTACTTTACGTCTCTAATAAAACGTAGATAATGTCGGAATTAAAAAAAAAATTGTTACAGTAGAATCTGGAATGTTCGTCGACGAAAGGGTGAGAAAATCTTTCGGAAAAGGAAGCATCGACAATGGCTTAAAACTGTTTGGAAAGTTGAAGAGAAAGAGGGAGGAGGAGACGCGAGTTGCGAAAAGACAGCCGAAGCGGCGAATCGTGAACATCAAACGAATTAAATCTCTGCGGAGAACCGACCGCAGAAACTAATATCTCGACGCTTCTTCCGTCCGTCCATCCATCCGTCCGTTCGTTTACCGTTTCATCGTCGTGTCTCAACATCTTTGTCGTGCAAAATTCTCATTCGCTTTGTCTTCGATTTCATTTGTCAATGTGTTCTCGAATCGCTGGTTTCAGAAACTATAAATAATTGTTAGGCTCGAAGAGAACGATGGATGTAAATGAGAATTGCAATGAGATTGAAAGATATGTAATTAATTAAATTAATCTACCACGAATAATATAAAATTGCAATTAATACAGAAAACAAATTAAAATTAATAGGTTAATAGAAAATTAAAATTAATATATTGATACAACACTGTAATTATTGTATGAAAAATGACGCATATTTTTATATTATATGATCATAAAACTTTCATCTTTTTAACAGTTTTTTTTTCAATTTTCTATATGTGAATTACACGTTGCACTTGGGTTGCAGTGCATACGTGTAATCGAATCAATATGCCTTTAGCGAAAGGCTCTCTCTCTTTCGTGGCAAAGTCTCCTCTTTAATTATTTTCTTGACGTCTATAGATCGGCAATTAATTTTCTTTCGTACGTGCGCGCTATGGCTATTAATATTTCTATCTACGTAACATTGATTTCAGTTGTAAACATAATTAAATTAATATATCGGCAAATAAAATATTCCTTAGACATTCAGCGTATATTTAATCTATATTGCTCGCATATAGAACTGATTACATTTTTGTTTTTTTTTTTTAGAATTACTACGTCAATTTAATCAGATATTTCCAATGTAAACGCAATTAAAAATATGCTCTTGACAGAAAATTATAGATATAATATAATCAATAATTAATGTTCATGGTTTTTTTTTCTCAACAAGTATCAAGATTCTGAGGTTTAGACTAACGGTTAACTCTAAACGTAAACGTCGGCTATTAGAAAAGCGGGACATGTTGTGGATTGAACGAAACACGTGTTACTCTGTATTTTTGGGTTGCGTTTAAGCACCGAGCGCGGTTGTACCTTCTTCTCCAATTAGCGTAATAAAATGATTAAGATGGTAATGCCAACACCATTCTTTCAAATAAGATGGACTGTCCCCTGGAAAACGAGAAGTCGGGTCACCTTATATGTGCACGACATCGCTCGTGCCGGTCAGTGAAAATTTTTTAAACGGACTGTACGGTCGGGTTGTGCAGGTGTGACCGATGGCGGCGGCCTTTGATCCTGGAGCGACTCCTCGGCTACTTTGTCCACGACTCATCGCGCCCGCCTCCCCCCCTCTCTCTCTCTCTTTCTCTCATCATTCGATTCGATTATTTCTTAATGGCTAACGCCATTGCGAAAATGATCGTTGCGTATATTTCTTGGTAAACATTACGCAAAATAAAAAATACGCGGGGTCGCTCCGATTATTGGATAACGACGTTAATTGATACTACTTTCTTCGTTCCGAGAGTCAGCGCGAGCATAACAAAAATTATAAAACGGAAACCAGTATTACGCGGTATCATCTGCTAATAAGATACGATGAACGATAATTATTTTAAGCTATTTCGCGAGGAAGCGATTATAAAACCAATAGAACTGATATAACAATTTTCATGTCAAGCTTTACACACCGCTAGAATAGTTTTCCACGATCTAATCTAATATAAAGAGATCACCTATAGATAATCAGCAGATATTAAAATAAATTATTCACATGCTTTAATCTCGGCAGATAATGCTAGAACGTGTGTTCGAAAAATTAGGTTGCAATGTTCACTTTTACATTATAAATTGTGTAGCCAATTAAATCATTCAATCATTCGTGTCTTATCTTATCGAATATTATTTCGTAAAATAATATTCGACGAGATAAGATACGAATGATTGAATGATTTAATTGGCTACACAATTAATTTATAATAACAAACAGATTTTTAAGAAAATTGCCGCGCTTGATACAATAAGCTTGATACAACGGAAACTTTTAAAAAACTTATTAAAGTGGCACTTCTCCAGAAGATATTTTGATATAAAAAATTTATAATAAAAAATACGCGTGCATTAACATGCCCGATTTCAGATACTTTGATAATTCAAAATAAATTGCTCAATTATTTATTTGAAGTTTGAATTTTTGGTCTAGATACGTGTTAACTAGAGAATACATACCACAACTAACAGAATGCATCATATCCTATTTAAAAGTAGATGTTGCGTGTACAATAATATCACACAAAATGAGATTATTTATATCCGTACACATCTAATCTGATAAAACTACAAATCGCTTCGAGGCTAAAGGCGAACGTCTGGTAGAAATATTTTGAACTACAGCCTTAGCTGGTAACCGGGAACTATCATAGTTATGGCTCTCGGAATTCCGTGGACTGAGCACCGTAACGAATGCGTAATACTTTTATGGGGATAACCCTCCCATGACTCGAAAATACATTTAATTTGTAGTCTTCAGAGACGATTCCGTGAACTACAATTCCAACGGTGGTCGCCTGAAAAAACTTCGATTCGTTTTGCATATTCCGATCACGGGATTATAAAATTTCGATTACTGTATACACGCATTCATATATAGTATTTATATGCAGTATTTCCAATGTCACTTTGTACAGAAGAATACCGTAGATCTTTCTGAGAAACTGAAGTAAACTAAGATCAAAATGAAAGAAAAATAAATGCGTGCTGTTAAGAGATTTATTTCAATGTCTTCAACTGTTTCAAACTTTAACTCTTCTGTCAATACATAATTTTTCACTACCTTTTTACTAAGTTCCTTCTGAAAATGTAAAAGTGGAAACGAAATAAAATCTATGCAAAAAACTGTTTTTTATTTATATATGCATGTATATATATATAGTAATTCAGATTGAATTATTTAAGCACTAAAGATCTAGTTTTGACTGTCATTATATTCCTTATTGTTTTTTATTGTTCAAAATTGAGTGGAACTTTGGAGACATCATAATTGATGCACAAAAATATAAACATTTTTACTGTTAAAATTCAATATAAGTATCTGCGAACACCCGTGCATTGAAAGGTTAATACGTGTAGACAAAAAGTACACACAAGAGCGATTAAAAAAATAATACCTAACGCGATCTTTGTTTCGTACAAAACATTTATTTGCTACGCAGCTACATGCGCTTCAATCTCTGATCAGCATGTGTTACTTACTGGCAATCTCGTGAAATTAATTGATAACTATCTTGTCCTGATTACCATATAAACATGTATACATATAAATATCCTGTATTTATTGATACCTTTATAAATTCATGTAATATAGAGAAACTCAATCTATACGCCCGATCCATCTACTATAATATATTCTTATCAAGTCTTTCTATCTCTTGTTTTATTCTCATACGCGGAATTAACTACGTATAACGTACATTAAGTATGTGGCGAAAACGATAAAGCACGCGGACACTAAACGTTCATTTAATTTCCCAATATCCTTTTTTTCTTTCGTACAACTCGTATTTTACACCTAACGCGTTTTCATGGAGAATTTTTTCCGCCACGTAGCTTTGCGAGCGATTACTCATACAACGTTAGCGATAAAATCTTAATTCATCTATTCGTATCGGTAGCTAATTATCGCATTGCGTTCCCGAGAGACACGGCTCGTCGGAACCGACGGTCTTGTTATCGGCAGCATTTAATTGCCGCTGAATCGACGGTTCGTTTGTGCAATACCCGCGTCTTCGCTCATTCATTATCCGCGTGCACGATAACAGATGCCGTGAGGCGCGGCGCTACCACGAAGGCAGAATTATTTTCAGATCTTTCCATGAGAAACCGTATGGATCACCGATAAAATTATATTTCATCATAAAACAATTTTTTAATTATTTTTATCGATTATTATTTACTTTTTAGAAAGCTACTTTATGCTTCTTTGCAAGATTAATTGTATGTGCACATTTGTAAAAATGTGAAATAAATTATTTTTTGCAAATATTTAAATAGTATAATTTTCCCACTAGTTACTTGAAAAATTAAAAAGTAATATTTTATGTTCGAATGGCAAGGATATGTTGTTCCAAAATATTGAAAATAACAAAGCCACAGACTGATTATAAAATTGCAAAAAAAAATTTAAGTTGATCCCGTGTACAGCCAACGTATCGATTTGCCACGCCATGTATTGATTAAATAAATATAATATATAAACACAACACTAACACTATGTCTATTCTCTTGTGTTGCAGAACAAGCCAATCACTTAAACCTGTTCAACAATCGCCAACAGCCGAAGAAGAAGCGCAAGAGTCGGACCGCGTTCACGAATCAGCAGATCTTCGAGCTGGAGAAAAGATTCTTGTATCAGAAGTACTTGAGCCCAGCCGACAGGGACGAGATCGCCGCTCAGCTGGGTCTGAGCAATGCCCAAGTGATCACGTGGTTCCAAAACAGGAGGGCGAAGCTCAAGAGGGATATGGAGGAGCTTAAGAAGGACGTGCAGACTGTGAATCCACTTCTGGTCGCTCAACATCACAAGACTTTCCTAGAGAACGTGCAAGATCTGGGAATCTTAAAAAAACGACCATTGCCAAATTCCATGGACGAGAAATCGTAGAGGTCAACTTTTCGAAATCGACTTTTCGACCTTCTGTGTGCAATTGAGGCTCGACAGGAAACTCGAATAACGAACAATTATTCGTATAATATCAAGTGTTTTCGACCGAAATGAAAGATCGAACCGTGATACATAATTTCGTGTTACGATGTTATTATTCGGGCAAGCATGTACGGAAATTTATACGCGTCAATGACTACATTTTGTATAATAGTCTTCTTTTTACGTGTGATTCGATTCCTTGACGCATTTTAATGCCCTTTCTTGAAGAAATTGTGAAGAAAGTCTTGCGATAAAAAGCCCCTTTTCAAAGATCTTGTCTATCTAATAATCTATTATGATTCAACATTTAAACTTACTTTTTCTCCAAACTGTAAAGCTATTTATTGTTATTACATCCAATTTCTCACAATGAGCGAATATTCTATGTACAATGATCTAAAAAAAGTTACAATTCTATATACTGAGACACGATTTAAATAACAGGGGAAAATATTACTTTCAACTTTTCAAAAGAAATTTTCGTTGTGCTTGTTAGAACTGAAAAAAGTGACGTTCTTATGTCGTAATTACGGCTTTAAATGGAAAGCGTATCATAGTCCGCTGCAATTTTACGCGCAGAGCGCGGTGTATTATAATGTATTTATTACAAAATGAAGAAAATGAGAGGCCGTAAGAGGAGAGCCGTCGATAATAAATTATTAAATGAATATTATTCCGTAAATTATAAATAACCACGCGTTGTGGCGCGATTGTGTACATATACTGTATATAGGTATATACATCGTTTCCTTGATAATGTTACGTATAGGCATGATAGAGATCGTTATACATGATTAGAGTTAAAAGAAACAGTAAACATAGATGGGACACTGCAATATACCTGATTATGAGTTTAATTAGTGAATTTTAGGAGCGAGTAAAATGTATATCTGCATACGACGATTCGTAAAGTGATAGTGAGGTGCGTGAGACTAAAAATTAGGAGCGCGTGTGTAAACCGACTTAGTACAGTGTATAGCGAAGCTAAATAAATGGAAACATTATTGAAACTGTTTCTGTAGCAACTTTTTTAACTTTATTATATCTTTCCTTTCAACTTTCCTGCAATATCCTGCAATACCATTCAATCTTGATATAGAAACCTTACGAAGTGCAATTATTCATTTCATTTTTAAAAGTAAAATGTTTACATTTACAATATTAAGGATGTATAACTTTTAGAAAAAGTGACTGAAATTGGAAATCTCTACTTTCCGCATAAAAATGAATATTATATACATACAATTCAATAAGGTCAATATTTATATTAAACAATAACACTTCATAGTTTAAATAAAAATTTTCTCATTTTTTTTTTACCTTAATTATTTTTTAAAAACATGTTTACTTCTTATGTTAAAATAATTTTTTATCCAGATTTTAAATTGCTAAACTTTTTGTATTACTTTCAAATGTAATATAGCAAACTAGTGTTTATTCTTGACAATATAGTATAATAGAAATAATTGTTTTCATTTTGTTACATCCTTAAATGCAGTATTTTCCATCAGATCGAGGATGTATTAAAAAAAAATCACATAAAATTCGTATTATTCTTTCTCTAATCGCTTTAACGAGAAGAGATTTACATTTTATTACGCTTTGCGTAATACTGTGCGTAAAAAAGGCTCGACGTGCGTCGGCGTGCAAGGAGACGAAAGACGCAGTGCATAAAGATGAAAAGGAATTATTCTCCAAAAATAGCATGTACGTTGCGGTCCTTCTAAGAATCTTTTTGAAGCCATTCGCGAGGTTTACCCAGAGGCGTAATTTATTAAGATGAAGTCATTTCGCGGGCCTTTTCCTCGTTGTATCTGCTAGTATCCGGAGTCTGGCACTCGTCATAACCGAAAGCTTTTGCTACCGATAGATTAGAACTCGAGTCTAATACAAATCGCGATGAAAAGATGCGATATATAATTATATCCTTAATATGTTTGTATGTTTATATTTTTTATATGTTTTAATGCCAATTTGATACAAATGAGTCATTGTTATGCATATAAATCTCAAATTTAAAAGACGAAAAATCAAATTTATTTTTAAAATCAAATCTATTTTAGAATATCCAAAAAAATAAAATTTCGTTAATTAATTACATTTTTAAAGTTTAGTTCTTTATAATCGTTTTAATTATGATGAACAAGAGGCATTGGAGAAAAAATTTTACATTTAAAAAGTGAAACACTTAACAAGTACTAGTATCAAAGAAAGAGTTCCAATATAGTATAAACGTAAGCATCGTAAGCTATACACTTGCAAAAGCCGCCGGGCCCTTATTGGAAATGTCGAGAGCACCCAAGAGGAGGCATATAATCAGCATATACTTAACGCACGTAATACACGTATATATTCACATCCGTTATAAACATTCTAGATTCTAGTCGATTAATCCATTGCGATGGCAGTAGCACGCGTTTTATATCAGAGATAATGACGACAAGTTAATGATAGACTCATTAACGAGGCCTCATATCAAATGATTCCGTTTAGCATCAGATATTCAAGTAACAGGAAGCAGGTTGGTAATGTCGAGCTATCTACTCGTATATCATGCATTGCGAGACTCATCGCTGATACGATTAGCTGCGCTCTATTTATGGTACTTATATACTTTACATGAAAAATACTTCCCCGCGTGTTTATACATAAATTCCTATCTACAAAAATTCTCAAATATCCGGCACTTTAAGAAATCGACTGTTTATTGCGCTCGTTATGGTCGGTCTGATCGATACATGCGATCATCGGAAAGTAAAGGCTTTGATAATTCCAAGATTCCAAGGTATAAAAACTGTAACGTTTAAACAACAAAAGTACGCAAAATTATTGCTCCGAAGGATGTGCAGGCGTATAAAATGTGAATAAAACGAACATAGAAACACATTTCGTTTTATAACATTTGGTTTTACGAGTCACAAGTTGAAACGGAGTAACGAGACTTTTGTACGAACTTGAACGATTGCGAGGACGTTCGTAGCCATCGCTGATATCGATGGGTCCATATATGAAGCAGTAAGCAAGGTAGCCCATACCGCCCTGTAATTCAGACGCCGCAACATCCAAATAAAGAATTCATAATGGCGATGATGACCACCGCCAATTTTCTCGATATATCCGATATACTAATAATTCAGGTGATCTCCGATCGGAATGAGTGTGCGGTATCATTCATTGTCTCTCTCTCTCCCTCTTCAATCCCCATGCCCTTCGAAGCGCATTAAACGCGAATTTATGAAATCACGCAAGTAATGCGCGACATTAACGAATTATCGTTTAATTGCAACAATATAATCGAACTCTATACTTATATCCTTATATGTCAGCTTTAATATAAGTTTTATTACCGCGACATAAGTTTTATATCTCACGACATGGATATATATATATAGATCGTACGCAGCACAATTACCGGTATATTAAACGTAATTAATTTACGATTCGCTTAATGTCACAAGATTTCCCCCACCTGCCTGACGCTTAATTATTTTCGATATATTGCTTCGTAATTAAATAGGATTGCAAAACGGTGCTCGTTAATGTGAATCCCGGGGACTCAGTTTATTCAACGTACAGATTGAACGCGAAATGTATGTTATTACACATCAGATTATCGAAATATTAATTTCGTGGTAATTATCGGCCAGTCGGCGGCAGGCAAACTGCTTTCGTTTATTTAACGGACTCCTTCGAACGAAGCCTCCAATCGACTCGATTAAAAACTTGTCTCTTCATTTCGTTTAATTGAATTTTGCGAGCTTCTTCTTCAGTAATTCTGCGCAAAATATTGAAAACCGACAAGTAGCAATTATTTGAGAACACTAATTTGCATCTTAAAATTTACCTGGAAAACGTACATAGACATTTTAACAACATTGTTTCGTACATCATTATATTACTGTGTAGTTATGTTGTAAAACTACACAGAAAAAAAAAAGACATAAATCAACGCGTGTAAAATCATAAGGCCACATCATTTCAGTCGCCAAGACATCATTTCGGAGAGAGCGATCGTCCTTCCAGCTGTTTAAAGCTAACGACTTGTTCAGGTATCTAAAGTGACAAGACGACAGCCCATTGATGATAAATGAGGTCGTCGGATATTAGAATTTTCTACGGTATAACGCAACTGCATTCTAAATATATGTATATAAAGTTGTGGTAAATCAAGATTTACACTAGAACGAGCTCCTCGAATAAAGTCTAACCCTACGTCTCACGCTACGCTAATTTGTCTCTACGCGAAACGCTACATGCAATCGTCGCGCGTGTCGGCGACCCGTGCTACCGATCTCGCCAGGTAAGACCGCGTGCGAGCGCGTGCGGGAACATTATCCGGCGCGTTGTTTTGCATAACCTCGCCAGAAGATACCTCGGAGCTCATTTTCCCGGCATTGACACGCCCACGTAATTCGGACTCATTTACTCGTTGACTCGCTTAACCCGCCAGCCAGTCATGCGTCAGTCAAGCCGGCGCGCGGAGCGCCGCAGAGATCCATAATTTCGATTCGAACCGTTTCAGCACGCGAGAAACGAGTCTCCCCGCGCTCCGCGCGGATGTAATTAGACGTGGATCTAGGCTCCAGCCCATCAGCGGGCCTCGTTAATGCGATATCTCGACTCTCGACCTCGCCACAGCGAGCCGCCGCCGCCGCCGCCGCCGCGCCGATCCTCTCACCCGCCTGCGCTTCTATTTCCTTCTTCTTTTTTTTCTTTCTTTCTTTTTCGATTCCTCATAGACTGACTTCTTTCACGTGGCTGATTTCTACCTGCGCGGTCTTTCATCTCGTCTTCGCCAACGAGGTCCATTTACACGGCAGGAGGACTTCTTTCGGGAGGACTAGCTACGCTACGGCTCCAACTAACGAGAGCTCGTAGTCCCGACGATGGAAGATTAATATGTGGGAGTGTTTAGGCGAGAATGGGTGGGGGATCACGGGACGATATATTATTCGCGCGGTTGGAATCTTGCAAAACGTTGCCTTGGTTAGATAACAGATGATGAGTGAATATAACGAATTTTTATGATTTATGATTTTTACCGTCATAAGTGTAACGCGCATGATAATCTATAATAATATACTAGGTTGTCAAAAAGGTTCTGAATCGCCCTTCGGTTTTTACAAATTTATTCTGAAATAATAACTATTCCTCAAATAAAGATTATGTTCAACAATTATTCGTCATAGTTTGCTTTTTAGCTGCCGGATTTGGATTCGACACCATTTTTGGATAAAATTTACTTTACTGCGCGATAAAAAATACAAATGCATAAAGTTATGTGAGT